CATGTTTATAGTGGCATGGTTTGTAATAGCTAAAGCTTGGAAACAGCCCAAGTGCCCATCAACTGGAAACTGGATAAAGAAGATGTGGTTTTTTTGTAAAGTGGAGTACTACTCAGCCATAAAGAATGAGAAACTAGAGATGTTTATAGCTAAATGGATGCATACTGAGGCCATACTCAAGTGAAATAAATAGAACACACATGTGTAAATAAGGAATAGTTTCTCTGGTGTGAGAAACTGACAGTAAATAGGATTAAAATGATTAAAATGAATAACTGATAATTTGAAATAGGAAGGAAAGGTTCAAAGGGGTAGGGGAAGCTGGAGGGGAAGGGGAAAGGTAAGAAGGGAAAGGAAAAATTACGAGAAAAGAAAAAAAAGGAAATAAAATGTTTGTAAATAGAGAAGAGTGGAGGGAGGGGAGGACAAGGAATAGGAAAAAATAAGAACCAATATACATCTTGTACAGGTGCAAGTACCCAATGATAAATGTAAACATATTGTATACCTAAAATGAACCAATAAAAGAATTTAAGCAAAAAAAGAGAAAGAAATGATGTAGAGACCCATTATACCTCCATAGAAAACAATGATGTTGCACCTTTACCTCAGATCATATAGAAAAATTAACTCACAATGAGTCAGAGATCTGAACATAAGAGCAGACAATGTTCAGGAGCTATGAGATAATACAGGTATCCTTCATGACCCTGAACAGGGCAAAGTAAACGGGCAAAAAAAACTAATTTGGACTTCATCAAATACAAAAACTATTATGCTGCAAAGAACAATCTCAACAAGGTGAAAAGACAGCCCACGTAATGAAAGTGTGCAAATAGTTTATCTGGTGAAAGATATATATCAAGAGTATATAGGACTGGGGATTTAGCTCAGTGGTTCCGGCACCAGCCTCGCAAGCGCAAGGTCCCGAGTTCGATTGCCAGTACCAAAAAAAAAGAGTATATAAAATATGTTTATTTATTCAGTAATAAAAAGAGAAGCCAATTTTAAAAGGAGAAAATGATTTGAGTAAGATAAACAGGACAATAGCACCTGCAGAGATAATCAACATCATTAGGTGTCAGGGAAACACACACCAAAACCATCACGAGAAGCTACTTCACACTCAGTTAAATGACTCCATCCAAAAAGTGCGATGAGAACTGCTGGAAACCCTTACCCTCCTGGTGGAGACTTACCATGGCCCAGACACCTTGGAAAATTAGCCTAAATATTTCAGGTCCCTAAACAACTCACACCAAATAAACAGGGGCTCCATTCCTGTGGTAGCACATGGGAAAACATTCTGTCCCTTCCACAAAGGTAGGTGTCACTGGACAGAACAGTGTAGTTCCTGCAGAGCTTGTCTGAGCCTACAGGGTACTGAACAGGGTACCAGTGTCAGGCCTGAACCAGATGTCATTCATTGCCAGGAACTTTCCCTGCTTCCTTCAGCTGGATTTCAGAATTGGAAAGGACAGAGCCTTAGGTGGCCCCAGGTGCCCTTGGTTTCAAGGAGCTGGGACCTCATGACATCGAGCTCGATGGAGACTAGCGCCATAGCCATTTTGCCATTTGATCATAATAATCTCTGAATGCTAACATAGCAACATAATTTTGATGTATTCGCACAATGAATATTTAGCTCACAATGTCTAAAAGAGAAAAGGCAGTACAAGCAATGAAAGCACAAAGTAACACCAGAGTGTGCAGTAAAGGAAAGAAAAGGAGAAACACCAGTGTGATTGCCCAAGTACATGGAAGTAAACAACTGTTCATGAATGTTTTCAACAATGACTTTATTTTGTGCTGACAGTGAACCATAAATGGGTCAACTGGGAGCTTGGCAATGTATCACGGGGACAAAGGAGAGCAAAACTGATCTGAGGGAAAGGGAAGGCTAACAGACTCCTCCACAGAGGGTTCTCATGTCTGTGTATTGCTGGCTATGATGGAGGCGAAAATCGGGAAGAAGGCTGATGTCATCCAACATTCCGTCCCATCTAGTAGATCATTCTCAAGTACAGTGTCATCTATTAAGTCCCTCTCCATGTTAGTAGGTCCTCCTACATTGCAATGCATACCATTACAGCAATTAGTAAAATAGAAACTATTAGTTTTCCCGGTTCCAGGGCTTCTTGGGGTTTCAAGAGGCACGAGGGCAGTATATACAAATGTGCAGTTCCAAGTGCAGTCCTTGTAAACGAGTATTTCATGAGGGCTCACACCTAAAAAGGGACCATGAAAGTTATTGATTTCACATGTTCTACTTGTAAACACCATAGCACATTCAACCGAAGCTAGTTCCACGCATACATTCTGCATTGTCAAATGTTACAAAAGTACATCGCCTAGAACTGTTGACTAGGGAGTATGTCCAGGTCCACAAGATGATGTGACTGCTCCACAACAACTTCTAAAGATAGGTTTCTATCCATGCAGCCACCTTTAAGTCTGCCACTAGCCATTCCAGAATGGTATCTTGGTATCTGGTTATGAAGCTATACAACTAAAATGGGCAGTTCATTATATTGTCTTAAGAACTCTGGAGCTCTAGAAATTAAATGAAGACAAGCAATTAACTTGTATTGAAGTCCAGAGCTGAGAGATTTCACATAAGTTGAACAGGAATGCCCACAGTAATATGCCCTTTTGCTGCTTTCCTGCAGCTGATAAAACCCCTTGAAGATAACCTCCTTGTATCCCTTTGTATTAGCCACTTTGCCATCACTGAAACAAAATATCCAATGTCTGCAACTTAAAGGAGTAGAGTTATTTTGGCTCACAGCTTTAGTGATTTCATTCCATGGTCGGTTGGCTCTAAGGCAGAAATGGCATGGTAGGAGAATGAGGCAGCAGAAACTTACTTCCCTCATGGCAACCAGAAACAGCAAGAAGGGAGGCGCTGGGGAAAAGAATACACCCATCCAGATGTCCTCAGTGTCTCACTTCCTAGCACACCCTACCTCCCCAAGCCCCACCTCCCACCAGCACATTTTGCCACACACTCATCAAAGGATTAATCCACTGATAAGGACAGCATCCCCACAATCCAATCACCCTTCAAAAGCCTCATTTCTGAATACAAGAGACTTTGGGGGAACATTTTATTCTAAACCATGACACCCTCCACCTGGTATTCCAAGCTCTCGCATCAACAGACAAATGCTGATGGGCCTTTAACCCCAACCCCCACAACACAGACCTAGTGTCCTGATCCAAGAAGGGTGCCACAACTCATGTGTTCACTTTCCTGAGAGGGATCAAAGTGACCTGAGCAAGCTCCACCTGGGACATCCTTCAGGAATCCCTGAGTTAAATACTTTGGCCTTCATTGCTACTCCACTTTCCCTGTCCTCTACAGGGTGTTTATGCAGATAACTTTAATCTGAAACATGCCATAACTCATTTGTCCTCTTGCCTCTTCAGAAAGAACTAGTAATGAAGAATCAGTCAATTATTTTATTTTCCTGATAAAGAGTTTATTTAAGTTTAACCTTCTACAGAAGTGTATGATTGTACATCTGCAGCTCAAGGAGTTTTTACAAAGTGTACCCAACTGCGCAATCAGCATCCACCCCTAAAAACAGACCTGGGTGAAACTCACGGATCCCTCATTCTGTTCCTCCGTTCACATTTAAGCAGCCGGGGACAAAAATAAGCCCATGGGTCTAAGCACGTGTATTATTAGTTTTGCCTGGTTTTTAACTTTTTGGAGAAGAAATCGTACTTCAGGGTTTTTTTCAATTGTAGATGGCTTCTTTACTTTCTACTTTTTAAAGAAACTCATCCCTATTATTGTATTTCATTCATTCTCATAAATGTATGCTATTCTTTGATGAGTACAACACAATTTATTGTTTGTTATTGCTTTTTACTTATGCCAAACATTTCTATGGTGAATGTTCTTGGACTTACCTTGGGATGACCCTCAATAAATTTTGGGGGGGGGGTACTAAGAATCGAACTTGGGACCTTGCACTTGTGAGGCAGGTGGTGGAACCACTGAGCTAAATCAATAAATATTTTGTGAGTTATGTACTTAGGAGTAGAAACGATGAGACTTTGATCTGTCTATGTGCAGCTTTAGCCAATCTTGTTGAAGAGTTTTCCAGACTAGGTTGGACATATCTCTACTCCAAAGCATCGTGTATACTTAAAAATCTTGATAACAACTTCATAAAGTTGTTTGGGATACTTAAGTCATTCCTCAAAATGTGCTCATATGGTGGTTTCCACTTGCATTTCCCTCAAGCAGAATTACCCTGGGCAACTTCTCCTATGTTTCGTACCCACTTAGCTACCATTATCTAAGAATTTTTCTTTAAGTCATTTGCTCAAATTTCTACTAGGTGTCCTGCTTTTCATTTATAGATTTTTAGGGAAAAGGCTCATTTTGTGTTATGAGTATGAATTCTCTACCATGCACATGCTTTCTCTTCATCTGTGGCTTGCACCTCCACTGTTTTATAGATATCTTTTTGTTTGGTTGTGGGTTTTTTTGGTACTGGGGATGGAACTCTGGTCCTTGTGCTTTCAGGGCAGGCACCGGAACCACTGAGCTAAATCCCTGGCCCTTGTTTTATAGGTATCTTATTTGGAGCTGAATTTGCAAAAATTTCATGTAATTCATTTATCAGTTGTATTATATGACTAGCACTCTTCCTTTTTAAATTCTGAACTACAGAAAGCACACAAATATACTTTTTTACATTTTCCTCTAAAAAGTTATTAGTTCAGTGTTTACATCTAGATTTTCAAACCATCTGAAATTGATTTTTATGGTGCAAATTCTGTAAGTATTTAATTTAGCCATCACCACTTAATGCCAATAGTGTCTTTCCCCACTGTACCGCAAGGTCATTGCAGTCAGAAGTCAGGTAATTCCTGCAGTGATTGTTCCTATTTAGTATTCTACCTTCCAATCTCGACACAAAACACTATCCTGTACTGTCCTCATTAGGGAAGCTATGCAGCCTGGAGCATTCAGAGAATATGTCCTTCAGCTTTTTCCTTTCCCATCAGAGATTGCATTTGCTATTCCTCCCCACTTATACTTCAATAAGCATTTGGAATCACCTCCTGAAAACATACACAGACACACACACACACACACACACACACACACACACACCCCAAGGACTCTGATGGATTCTCTTGACTTGTAGATCAAGCTGAACAAGGTATATCTGTGTATGCTTTTGTGTGTCATGATACATATGCATGGTATGTCTTTCCGGGTGTTTTGGTCTTCGTTTGCAAGTTTTTCGCAATTTTGGTGTTAGTATCTTGCACAGATCTATTTAGAAGTCTTTCTAGGTACTGATATTTGGATACTTTTAAAGAAGTTATAATTTCATGAATTGTATTTAGTATTGTTTCTTGATGTATGGAAAAACTCTGTTGCTTTAAATTGATATTTGAATACTTACCTTGTAGGCAGGTCCATGGTAAAGTCGCTTATTACTAGAAAAGTTTATTGCCTTTTGGGGAAAATACTAGGTTAATTTCTCTTTCCAATCCCACTGTATTTTTATTTTCCTGGCTGAAATGAACTCAGAGACCTAGTTTCACTAAGAGCAGAAGATATGGTAAAAGGCATGTCACTTCATTTTTCAACTCAAGGTTAAACTATTTTAGTCATTCTCATTTCATTAACGTCATTCATTTAAGATGTCATTTGTTTCCATTTCCTCCTGATTTTTTTCTGAACAAAATTTGGAAAGAGTATTGGACTTTCTTCAAAGTTTCAGCATTTGCAATCACATGTATGAAATGTTTCTTCTTTTATTTTTAAATATGATGAATGAAGCTAGTGGGCTTCAAGGGTAAATTCAAACTTATTTAGTCTATATGTCAGTAGGCATGGTGTGCATGTGTGTGTGTGTGTGTGATAATTTAATTTAAAACAGTTTTAGGATTATAGCAAAAATTGCCAACAGAGATTTTACAAACCTCATACTTGTTCCCTCTTGTCTCACATTTACAATACTGTGGAACATTTCTTACACCAATGAACAAGTATCGGTTAATGCTTACTGCATGAATTCTGCATGTTATTCAGTTTCACTCATTTGTCTTTGCTGTTCTTTTCTCATTCCACAATCCAGTGCATGGCACTGGGTGTGCAAAAAGACACACACACACACACTATTTTATTGTTTAATGTTGTGTTTGTTTGCATTGGGAGTCATAGAGAAAATGGAGCCTGTATGACTTCCTTTTGTTGCAAAGTCTCTTCTGGGGTTGGTGTTAGCATTAAGCTGCTATTACACATGTGCTGAGAGCAATTCCTCCTTGTTATCTGGAAGAGGGTGTGTAAGGTTGGGGTGCTTTCACACATATGAATTTTGAAGAACTCTGCTTGCTTTGGTGCACATCTCCTCAAATTGGAATGGTACAGAGATTAGCGTGGCCACTGCGCAAGGATGACACACAAATTCATGAAGAATTTGCCAGCAAAGCACTCTGGGGCTGCATACATTACTTTCTGGGGAGGTTCTCCAGAAAACATTCAACTTTATCAACAAGGCCCTTTAGCTCCAAAAGCTTGTTCTGGGTGAAATATGATGTTACTTGTCTAGATTTTGTTATTTCAACCAGAATCTCACTTATATCACAGGAGGGATACCCAAAATTGCTTGATTTTCTTTAAGGTGTGTAAGGTCTGATGATAATCTCCCTTTGTATTGATAATATTGGAGATCTGGAATTTCTCTGTAATGATTCTCTTACCATGTTTTACTAATCTTACTAATCTTTTCTAAAGAACCAACTATTGACATCGATGACTCGATATAGTCTTTCCTCTTTCAAGATTTCTGCAAAGGTTTTACATTTCATTCTCCATTTCTTAAGTGGATCTTCGATTATTTTTCTGGTTTCTTGAAAAGAGCCTAGATGTTCCTTTTTCCCTGAGCTCACATGTGTGCTTGACATGCCATGTAGTTTACACTATGTATTCTGTCATAACTTTTCCACTAAATCTTATACATCCTTCAAAATACCCAGACCTCAATACTTCCCCATTTGTGTTGTGACTTCTCATCAATTATTGATAAATCATTTGAACTTCACTGATGCTCGTATTCTGTCATGTCAGTGATTTTCTAAGCATACTATGTGCCCTTACTGTGTAGGAGTATTTGGTAATTTCTGACTTGTCGATCATTTTGTAATAATGATGTTGTTCAGGCCATCTACAGCACAAGCTGACATATAGAAACCATGGGTCAAATCCAAGCCACTAACTGTGTCTATCAATAAATCCTTCCTGGAACCTTACAACAGTGTTTACTCATCATCTGTCACTGCTTCCATCCCAACAAAGACTACATAACTAAAATCATCTATTATCTTGTCTTTTACAGAAAACCTTCATGAGACCCTGATCTATAGCCTTAACACATTTTGTCTCCTTGAAGAAGCATTTAGAAACCATGAAGAATGGTAACAGTGTATTTCTCTGCATTTCTTAAACTATGAAAGTTTTATTCTGCATATATTTTTATCCCATGCTTCTTGGTGTGTACACATTTACATTGTGACATTTTCCAGGTAGTTTTATCTTTGTCTCCAGTTTTATATTTGTCTCCACAAATATTGCTCTTCACACTAGTAAGGCTCTTCCCTTAACATTTACTTTGCCTGAGTGCATGTAAGGGTTCTCATTGTACAGTTGTTAAATATAATATTTTCTCTATTTTATTTTCAAGCTTTCAGTGCACTTACTTTTAGAAGTTTATTCCTAAGAACCAGAATTCATTGTTTCTTGCATACCTAGAACATCCTGGGCTGCATATCGTGCCTATTCAAATGTTAACCTGATTAATGACATGTTGGGTCTTAACTTCCTTTTTATTAAAGGCTTTGTGCTGAAACAACTGTACATTCAAACAGAGTTGCAAGAAACAATACAGAGGGCCCCCATGTACCCTTTGTACAGTTACTCCAGATGGTAACTAGTCCCAAGTATAGTACAATGGCACAAGGGAAGAACTGATATTGACAAAAGACAGGATACAAAACAGTGTGATCTCCACAGGTGTCCATCATATAGATATGGAGAAAGTTGTCTCTCTTCCAATCACCTCCCCTGTCTTACATCCTCTAAATGTATGAAACTCAACTGGTGTTCATGTCTACAAAACTGTCTTCTCTAAAATGTTATTTTAATGGAACTGTAACCGTGGATATTGCCTTTTTTTGACTTGCCACAAATCCCCAGATATTCATTCCAGTTACTGTGTATATTGCTTGTTCCCTTTTAGTAAAATGCATGGTGTGAGTTTACCATGGTTGATTTAACCTCTTAACCATGTCAGGTCATCTGGAATATTTCCAGATACAATTGCTGTGAACAGACATATACATGTTTGTACATAATGTCTTAGTTCTCTGTGAAAAATGTTGGAGTGCGATTTTGTGGTATACAGGTGTATTTTAGCCTTTTTAGAGAAGCTATCACCTTATTATCCATTCTGCATGAGTAATTTTTCAGTCCCACCAGCAATGTATGAATGATCTGGTTTCTCTGTGACCACACAAGCCTTTGGTGTGGTCCTCATTTTTTTAAAGCTTTTTGTTTGTTTGTTTGTTTGTTTGTTTGTTTTTGGTGCCAGGGATCAAACTGGGTTCCTTGAGCTTGCAGAGCAGGTGGCAGAACCACTGAGCTAAATCTCCCACCTTTTTTAAAGTTTTGGTCATTCTGATTGGTGGGATCTAATTATTTTCACTTGTACTATCCTAATGACTAAGTTGGGGTGTTGTTGTTGTTGTTGTTGTTTTGCTTTGCTTTGGTTTAGTTTTATTTGGTTTATTGAAAGAGGATCCTGTTATGTAGTTCACACGGGACTTGAACTTACTACGCAGTCCTGGCTGGCCTCAAACTTACAGCGACCTGCCTGCCTCAGCCTTCAGAGTGCTAGGATGACAGGTGTGCACCACTACAGCTGGTTAAAGATGTAAAATTTTGTAATTGTGCCTACTTGTCATCCATGGCCATTTTCTTCTATTAATGGATTCTGCACCTTCGTCGAAAATCCCTTTGGGTATATTTGTGTTGGACTGTTTCTGGGGTCTCACTTCTGTGCTGTGGATCTATGTCTTTGTGACTATCTCACGGATGTTGCCTATAAAGATCAGTCTCTGACATTCAAAGTCATTCCACAGAGTGTTTTTTGCTGTCCATGATCCATGATCCCTCAAATCAGCAAATATCCTGAAAGCACAAATGGCCAAGCATACCAGCACCTTCACACCTCTGCCAAAGGCTTGAAGATATTCTTAGATAGTCAAAGAATCCATCAGGATTTACCAGGAAAATGGAGTCCCTATATAATGTGAGGTAAATTTTGAAAGATAGCTATTATAGCTTCCACGATGGTGTGAAGGACTGAGAAAGGCCAGGGAGTCAAGGGAGGTTGAAGATCAGAGAAATCAGAGTCAGGTCCACCTGTTGCTGAGGCAGGATGAAAAAAAACACTGCAGGCAAATATCAAAAGCCATGGGGAGGGCCAGGATTTAGCTCAATGGTTCTGCCCCCTGCCTGGAAACACAAGATCTTGAGTTCGATCCCCAGTACCAAAAAAGAAAATAGTCATGGACTTCCATCCTCACAGTTAGGCTCTTACCCAGAGTTCTCTCGCAGAGATGTTTAAGCTGCTTCTTTGATGCACTCATCTCTGTGCAAGCCAGAGCCCAAGCACCTGCTAGGGTCTCAGGAACTTCTGTTGGTCAAAAGTCCAGCTCTGGTGAAGATGTGCTGGATGTGAAGGAGAATGTGAGAGAGGACAGGCTGGAGTCCCCCGTTGCTATAGGTTGGCAGGTACTTCTAAACTTCCATGTGGAAAGCTTGTTTTCCCTATCACAGTGCCATTGACTCGTGGTGCAGCCTTAAGACGTTCAGCCTAGTGGGAGTTGTTTAGCCCACAAAAGGCCTGAACTCCTCTCTTTCTTCCCAGATTTGGGTTTATTTGGTTTGGTGGTGTTTTGTGTTTGTTTCCGTTTCTCAAACAGAAGGCCACCAATTTTGCTCCACAATAGGGTTCAGCCGTGATGGGCCTACAATAATGGGCGTACAATAATGGGCCTAAACAAGCATGGACCCAAACCTCTTAAACTTTGAACTCAATGCAGCACATTTTCCCTATAAGCAGATTATTTTAGACGTAGGTTACAGTAACAGGAAACTAACATGAGCAGGGTAAACTGTTAAATAAATCCACCCTGATATTAAAGAGCACTAGTCTGTGCTTACCTCATCTTTGGAAATATCACTCAAAGTTATCTCTATGCCAACTATAACTTAGTGCCATACAGCAATGCACATTCTTGTAAACATTATCTCCCAATCTCGAGAAAAAAAAAAAATCTCCGAGGCTCATTCAATGCAGTAATTCCATAATGACAACTTGAAGCCCACTGAAGTCCCCCATCACTGGCCCCCACTGGGACAAAGCAGATTCTCACCCCCTGCATGTGTTTCCAGTCAACAAGTTATCCACAGGGTAATGGCACTGGGCACAATGAGGAAGGGGTAATAAGAGGGGTTTTTTCCTTTTTGAACAGACCTTGGAAAAGATAAATGACGTGAAACTCCAAAAACACACATGGGGGATAATAGGGTCTACAAGAAGTGTCCTTGTCAGGGCCCCAGATAAGGCCTCCACCTGTCCACCAGCTATAATGCTTGCAAGGCTAAGGGTGCTAGATTAGTCACTGGGGCCCTGGCAGTGCATCCCTAGGTTCAGGGAAGTCTTTGGGGTCATCAGAAAGGGTTTCTGGAGAGAGGAACACTTCCCTCAGAGTAGTAATGGCTTCAGAGTGGGAAGCAAGAATACTTTGAAACTCAAGCTCTGCCCTGCCCCCTTACCTGGTCTTTCCACCTGTGTGCTACAGACATTGATCTGAAATTTTCAGGTAAATACACCGCTAGGATCTACCTACCTGAATCCTCTCCCACCTACACATAACTAGAAATCAAACGAGCAAGAAAGAACCACGTAGGGTACACCACGGTGTCTATACACCTGACCTTGGAGACACAGACCTGAGGTCTAGCAATATTCCCACCCAGGGGAGACAGCAATGGTGTGGAGATCAACCTCCCGCCTTGCAAATACAAGATCTACAAGCTGATTATCAAGAGGCTTCACCAACTGCCTGTGAACAAGCTCTCAGTACAGAACAGACCAGAAGGAGTAGTAGTGTTGAATGCAGAGAGAAAAATACACTGACCCTCCTCCCCAAAACTACTCACATAGACTGATTTTCCCAGGAGGAGTCAAAAAGACAAAGAGGTACTTACGAATGGAGACTGTCATACAGCGTCTAAGATGATATTCACATATCTTCTTTTCTGGACAATTGAAGGAGTTTTTACCTCACAGTGATAACATTCCACATTATAGGTCCCTGAAAGAAGAAAATAGGCACAGAGTTTCTTCTCCAACATCCTTTTTCACCCATTACCAGCCTACTCCACCCTCCTCTATCAGCTACCCCTTCCTTCTGTCCCCAACCACTTCCCCAAGCCTGAGCCCCAGCTCAGCCCTCTGCCCATTGCAAGGCCCAACAAGCCTAGCTCCTCAGAGCAAAGGGAGATCCAACTAGGAACTCGGCTGCCCTCAAGACTGGCTTGGGAATGCCCCCAGCCAGCCACATCTGGGGCTGCTGAGCTCTGCGCAGGAGGTTCACACTTCCAAGGAAGGCTGGCCACGCCTGGGAGCCCAGCATCCTCCCGGATTTCTCAGAACACTGCCACTCTTTTCTGTCCCTGACCAGGAACTGCCACCTTTAGACTCCCCCTCAGGTCTCTTGGTCAGTAGCTCTTTCCTGGAAACCCTTCTCCCTCTTGTTCCTCTCCCTGCTCATGAACACACTCCAAAATGACCTCCATCCCTGATTACAGTGACAATACAAACTCCATTTGGCTCGGATGATCTAATTTCTACCCAAGACATCCAATGACCCTAATCAACTCCAGGTGAGTAAATCTTGCCCAAGACAATGAGAGTCTTGGAATGATACTTACATCCAGAAGGAGCCCTGGTGACACTGGTTTCCACCTCTGAGAGCCCTGCAATGAGGAGTAAGGCCAAGGGGAGCATCATTCCTGCAAGATTAGCCACCTAGAGGTAAGAGACACACAGCTCATCAGTGAGGGCATGGCTCCTTACTCCAGCTTCATTCCCCCAACATCAACAGTCAAGGAGTCTTCCCTAACCTGCCCCCATATGGGGCCTGCCTCCACTAAGCTATAAAACCTATCCCAGCATGAAATCCAAAATACAACACAGAAACAAAATATGTGAAATTTAAAATTTACTTGAATGTGTTAGAAGCCAACTGGACTCTGCAAAAGAGGAAATTAGGAAACATGAAGACCCTGAAAGATAAAAACACAAGAGAATGAATAGAATCTGGAAAAGGAGAGGCATGAGTGAGATAAATGTGTGGCATTCATGGAACTGCAGTTCCACAAGGAAAGAACAGAGAAATGGAGAGAGAGAATATCTGAAAAGTCATTGGGAGAGACATGTTCCAATACCAAAGAAAGATATCAGTCTACAAACAAGCTCAGCCAGTTCAGACAGAATCAATGCAAGGAAAGCCACTCTGAGATGTGTCACAATTAAACCACTGAAAACCACCTGCAAAAAGTGGAAATTTAGCCAGGCAGGGTGGCACACTTCTGTCATGCCAGCACTGTAAGATATATGAGCCCAGTTTGGGCAAGACAGCAACATTCTGTCTCAAAAAAAATAAAGAGGGCAGAGGATGTAGCTCACTCCAGAGGGTCTCAGAAATGAAGAAACAAAAGTAATACATGAAAATCTAAGAGGTGGCAAGAAGAAAACAAAAGAGAAAGTTTTCCATAGCAACAATTGAAGCAACAGTCACTTCACACAAACAATGACAAAGAAAACCAAAAGCTCACTAATTCCAAACCAGGGAAGCAAGAAGGAATTTGCAAGGAAGCATTCCATTCTCTGGAATTGAAAATATATTTCAAAAATGAAGGCCAAGTGAAAACAACATCTGACCAAAAGTGCTTACCAATATTGTTCCTCACAGACCTGCCACAAGAACGTAGGAATGTTGGAGGGATGAGCTTACAACATCTCGAGAAGGAAAACCTAAGATAAGCATAACCCAGAGCACAGGAGGCTATGGAATAGAAAGGCAGGAGCTGTGAGGGCCATATAACTGGTGTAAACTTCTAGGTGTAAATTTCTCTCTTTTTTCCACAAGAAGGTAAGAGGGTGGCCATTTCAGAGCAGAAAGCCAATTTTGAAATTCAAGAGTACATTTTGTGACTATAGTGACCTTAAGCCAGATATCAGTCAGCAAAGGGAAACTAGAAAAGAGTAAACCCTCAGGACCCTAATTTAAGAGACTCTTCCAAATAATAGGTGACCCCCAGAAGCTTCTCAATAGAAATAACAACGATTTTAGACAGAGGGGTGATAAAAATAGGACAGATAGAAACCTGGCATAAGCAGTCTGAAGGGACCTAAAATGCAAAGGAGGGACTCCAAGGCACTATTAGATAGAGAGGTGGGAAATGTGGCGTTTCTAGTTCCTACTTCAAGACAGTCAGAAAATGACCCACATAAAGTCCCAGGAAGCAACAGGGAGATGTCAAGGCAGCTGCTAAGACCCTCAAGCTTGGGAGACCAAGGACTGGGGAGGTGTGGAGTGGTTAGATCCAGGTCGTGAGGAGGTTAACTTGTGTGCTGGAGAGAGAGTGGGAGTAGGATCTGGGACACGGTGTCCTTGGACCCGCAAGGTATGGACAGGGGGCTGTGACCTGGGGCAGAGGGTTAAGGTGAGAGGTTCGAGATCAGGGGAAACTTAGAAACCTTGGCGGGGTCTCAGGGAGGAAGGAGTATTTGGGATGAGGATTTTCCAGGACTTCACAGGGTCTCAGGGAAGAGAGAGGTCTGTAGGTTTGCGGGGTGAGGGTTGCACGGAGAGAGCCGTGCAGGGGGCTGGGGGCGGTGTTATAGCACCAGGCGTGTCTATAATAAGGGGGCTCCACAGGACCAGCATTCACAGGATGAAGAAAGTCTACGTGTGAGGGGTCTCCAGGATGAGGGCGTCCCCATGCCCAAAGTGGGGGCCCATGAAGCGAAGGAGCCCACGTGAGCAGCTTGGGCGTGCCCTCCTGACCGGGAACGCTCTGCAGACTGCATGCTACTGAAGTTGCTGGCAGCCCTGTCCTGGCACGGGGCTGCTAGGCCCCCATCAGCAGTCCCAGCTTCTCCAGGCTTCCCACGGTGATCGCCCGTCTCCACTTCGTTGAACTGTTCTGCTAGAGTTCCTTGCCCCTACCTTGTGGACCTTCCCCGAGGGAGTCCCCATCAGCCCTTCTTGAGCCTTCCTGGGGGTCGCCTGTCTGTCTGTTATGGAACTTACGAGACAGATGGCCCCCTTCTGGAACCTTCCCCTAGGAGTCCCCCCTCCCCGCCCCGGAACCTTCCGTTGAAGAGCCGCCCATCCCCCCTTCAGAGTCTGGGCCCGAGGCACAGCAGCTCGCGGTCCCAGCCCTTTGTAGCCAGGCACTCAGCTGTGAGGAAAGCTCTAGGCTACAGGTCCAAGGCAGGCAAAAGGAGGAGCGGACGCCTTTCACTTTCTTTTCCTAGAGACCCTTCCTCCTTCCACGCGACCCCACCCCCCCCACGTCAGTATCTCCTTGAGGTCAGGTCCAGTGCCCGAGCCCCACCTTGAGAAGGGTGTCTCTGCATGGCCACCCTAGACCCTAAGGAGTCTCCTCCAGGCCCCCGCCCAGCCTCCTCAGCACTGTGAGCCTTGTTTTCCAGCTTCTCACTCCCTCTTGCGGTGATGCCTCCCTCAGTGTCTGGGATTCTGTGTCTGAGCCATGTGCAGCAGGATGAGCTGCTTTCCCTGAAAGGAGTGGCCTGTGTGTGATCTCCGCTCTGGGTGCCCTGTCCTTTCCCTGCTTTGGGAGAAGCTCTATGAGCCGCACCCGCCCTCCTGTCCCTCTAGGGCCACTGGCTGATGGGCAGATCAGCCTCCTTCCTCTGGAGCGTTGGCTCCTGGGGGCTGCCCTGTACTGGGGCCACTTTGCCTCCCCCCACCGGGTTGCTCCCGCACAGCCCCAGCCAGCTCTCAGGAGGATCTGGCCACATAGTTCCTGCCTGAGCGTGCTCACCTGGGGTCCCCTGTCATGCCAGCCTGGTGACTGACAGATAGGAATGAGTAGGCACCCCCTGGCAGGGCTCCCCTCCTCAGTGCAGAGCCCCCCGTCCCCAGCCGGCCCTTATCTCCTTACCAGTCCGGCCTCAGTCCTGTCCTGCCACAACCTGCTGATTCTGATGGAGAAGGGCAGGGACCTTGGTTTCCTCTATCTTGTCAAGCCTGAGTGGTTGAATTTATAGCTGAGTCTTTCTGTACCCACATAGCTTACTGCTCTACCTCTGGCCCTTCCGCGGCACTTTTGCTCCTGGTGCCCTCACTCTTTGCTCCTGTGAGGGCTCACGTCTCTATTTGTCATCCTTACTCGGCCACAGGGCTTCAGGTCTGTTCAGAGCGAGTGTCCCCCTGCTCCTTGGGCTTGTGCCATCCCTCCCATTAGGAGAGGACTCATGGTCCCTTGCAAGTGCTTCTCCCACTTGGCTCTAGGATCACAGCCACAGACTGGCTGCAGAGACCGCTCTGGGGCAGCAGCTCTCAGGAGACTCACTCTCTGGGCTCATCCACTTGGAGATGAGATCCACACAAGACAGCTTGGTCTGTGTCTGTGGATGCCGACGGCCTCATTCCCAGCTCCTTCTGCTCTCTGACACCAGGTTTTTGAGGGTCTATGCTCTGAGAGAAAATCCCACCAGCTTGG